TTTTCCTCAAGGAGGGAGTCAGTCTACCTGTTGCTGTAGATGACCACAAGCAGCCAGTCTACACCTGACATGGACTGAATCCTTGGGCAGTTAATTTGTGGTCTTATGGTGTCCAGCCCCAGGATCCTGTAATGTGCCAGGAAAGGTCATTTCTCAGAGATGGAAAGACGCATTTGTGTGCTGCATTTAGAGGAGCTAATTTTAAATGACAGTCTAGTTGCCACTGTGACGCAATCGGCCTTCAAATGCCGTCTCCTAAAGATGCACCTGCTGAATTGAGTGACAGCTTTTGACTTCAGTGATCAGTCAGACTATCCTACTTCCAGTTCTGTTTGTAATAAGTCCGTTTGAGACAGAATAGTGCAGAACTACAGGTGCAAAGATTATTTTCCTTTGGTCCAGACAAAGTGAAACAAGCAGCAGGTACGACAACCCAGTAAAATCAGCTGTGATTTATCCTCACATGTAATCATGTGTCGAAGACTTCAAAAGTCAGATGATTTCATGAATTTGTGTCAGTGTGAGTATAATGTTGCTCTCTTTGATCTGCAGGTGGCTCCAGTGGTTCTTCCAATGACAACCGCAACTACCGCTACAGTAACCGCTACTACAACTCTGCTGTTACACATTCAGACTATGAGATGACCAGCCCTCAGGTACACGCAGAAATGCATCACTGTTAAACACAACACCTCTTCAGGTGTCATCTTACATCCCCATCCCATTCCACAAACTTGACGTGTGATTGGGAGCTGCTCATCAAGCTTCTCCCACGTCTTTCCTTTTTTTCCGTTCAGTCGTGGAAGAGGCCACAGAAAACCAGTTGTGCTGATTTTCCGTGTGAACGTGAGATATAGGTTTATATATTAACAGGTCCTTGATCCTGCAGATGAACCACTGCACAGTGTGTCTCTGCACTGTTTGGTTGCATGTTTTAAATAATGTGTTGCCTGATGTTGATATATATACATATACAGTATATATAGTAAATAATCTGCCTGACCAGTTATAAATGTACAGAACCAGTGCCAACCTCTGACAGTACCCGGTCGTTGGGTGTAGTACAACCACTTCAGCAGTGCGCATGTGTAGTTCCAGGAACCTGTCTCCAAGTACAAGGTGGAGGACAGTGGAAAGGAAAGTAGAGACAACAGATGGGGTTGTTTTACCTTAGGTTTCTGTAAATTCCTCCGTCAGAGCAGGACCGGGAATAACACTGGACTCTGAATGTGTCTCATCTCTGTGTATTTGTCTCGGCTCTCCCCCACCAGGCTCCCTCCCAGCAGCAGATGAGGATGTGGCCAGGCAGTGATGGTGGAGGTGGGGGTCAGGACCCAGCATACACCCAGTTGCTGCTCCACAAGCCGGCTGCCTCCCAGCAACACCAGCGCCACTTCCTGGATGCGCCCCACCACCCCCACCCAACTTACTCCCACCACGGAAACGGTGGGCGTGGCCTGCGGCAGGGCGGACAGACGGGCATCGGAGGAGGGGGGGGTCAGCAGGGATCCTCGCCCCAGATGAGTGACAGCATGGATGTGGGCGTGTCCCTAGGGCTGCACCACCTGGGGGCGGTGTCTTCCATGGAGGCCTCTCAATTTGGCTCTGCCTCCCTGCCCCTCGCTCTGCCAATTGGACTGTCTGCCTTCCGGACTCGGACGGCCCCCACCGCCCCAGGGCCACAAGCCCCAACCCCTGAGGACTACTACCCTGCCTCCAACAACAATAACCCCGCTGCGGGGGGCAGAGGGAGGCCGGACTCAGACGAGGGGCCAGCCAATTCTTGATAAAACCTGAACCATGCCCTAAAGCCATACAATTTTAACTACAACTACTACAACTACACACATACAGCCAGAGTTCAGAGACAAAGAGGTGAACTTTGTGCTGAAGGAGACAGTTTGTACTGCATGAGAGGAGGAGGAGGAGGAAGGAGGAGGAGGAGGATGCTGGGAAAACTCTCCTTTTATCCTGTTTTAGTTTGTTGTCTTTTGTTGCAACTGTAATTGGAAAGGAATGATTGTGACAAGTTTGTTTTTATTAATATTATTATTGTTGTTTAATATTTGATTTTTCTCGGGTTTGAGGAGTTGTGTGTTCTACTTGGTTGTTGTTTAAGCCTGGAGAGGAGGAGGAGGATGAAGAGGAAAGAGAGAGGAGCCATGCTTTTCCATTTTACTCCACATGGTGGCTGTAAGTGGACAGAGAGCACATGTTCATGTTCACACCGGTTAGTTATGACATAATTATATTTGCAGCCCTTAGAGACGAGCAGTCTTAACACACAGACAAACACACACATGTATACAGTGTGTACATATATATATGTATGTATTATGTACGTATACACACTGCTGCATCAAGAAGACAGAAGCTGGTTTCAAAGGGAGAAAACACCAACATATGTGTGATTCAGGACTCATGGATTCTCTCTCGTGTCTGTGTTAAACTCACTTTTTCTTTGAGTTTGTGTCCTCCCTCTGTCGCTCCCAGCCTGGTTGTCACAGAGTACGGAGAGAGGGAGGGAGGTGGAGGGAGGAGAAGGTGACGGGACACTGATGCCGTGCTGGTGCTCATAGGGATCTCCTTCTCCTCCTCATCCTCCTCTTCTCCCCGCTCTCTTCTTCATCTCCTCCTCCTCCTGTTGTGTTTCTCCTCCAGACAGCTCCTCCTCTCTGTGCTGCTAATCACCATGACAACTGGTCCGGATTGCTGCTAAAGATCCAACACAGATCAATTAAAGAAATAAAAAGAAATAGAAACAGAAATAAAAAAAAAACTTTTTAACCCTTCTGCTTAAGAGAAAAGGATAAAGTAAGAACCACTGCATCTCAATGTATTTATTACTATTTAACAAGAAAAAACAAACTGAAAGTAACCCTTTTTTCTGCTCTTCTTTGTTTGGTTGCCTTCTTTCTGCAGGTGAGCTCTGATTGGCTATTGTAACAGTGACAGTAACTGGTGACATGGGAATGCCACCGGTTGTGGGGGCTGGGTGGAGGGGAGGGGTTGGGGCAAAATAAAGTTGGATATATAATAAGAATAAAGAGTATACTTTTGCACACCAAAGTCAAACAAACATCAGATCTCCGCTTTTCTTCCTACTAATATGACCTTGTGCGTGGTCAGGATGAAGCTCTGATGCTTGGCCTCTATCCACCCACGCTAAACTATGGACACCTCATGTCTTCGTTATTCACTAAAAGAATGAGACGTGAAATAATCATATGAATAAATACACTCATTATATTTCACACAACCAATGGTAGACAGCCAATCAAAAACTGTTGTTTGACTATGACACATTAACAAATGTTTGACCAAAAGTGCTGAAAGAATTTGGAAAACAATGAAAAGCAGGAAATAACTTTTTCTTTTTTTCTTTTTATTATTCATATGACTGTTTTTCCCTCATTTGGTCTTCTTTACTTCTGAAAACCTTTGGACTTGCTCAACTACAATGGTTGTCTAAGATTTTGATGTTAATTAAATACATAGTGGTAGTGGTCACACTTTACAATCATAGGCTCTTTAATCTCAGATTTCTGTATGACAGCATGTTCAGATCATTGAGAGACAGCAGCAGCAGCACATTCACCTTCAGAATAAGATGACAGATTCATCTTTACAGCTACAAGACTCCAGCAAAATAGTTCATCGTACTGATGGAGACACAATGAACCTGGAGCAGAAGATAATTCACTGAGAAAAACAACATCTCTACTGTGCTGATGCTATTTCTGTAAAGGAAGGTGGGTTGCAAACAATATTTACCAGATGACCCACGTCATCAAGTCATTAGGAGCGGCTGTGACTCAGGATAGAGCGGGCTGATCCCAGTCTCCATCGTTCTGTGTGCCAAGGTTTCCATGGGCAAGATACTAAACCCTGAACTGTGCCGCAAGTGTGTGAGTGACGTGTGATAGAGAAAGTGCTGCACAAGGAAGCACTATGAATGTGTGTGAGACTAGAAATGCACTATAGGAATTTACCAAGTGTTTGAAAGGAATTTTGGTTTGTGTGAATAAGTTTGTCAAAAAACAAGACGCTGTATAGACAATCACATGAACACATGATAACAGCTCTTCAGTGAACTCCCTAATGTTGGGGCAAGTAAGAGATACGTTTGCTGTCAGTGACAACTAATGATAATCACCTAGGTAACCAGGGTAGATGCACAGCTCACTTGCTCTGGATCATCATTCTTCCCACAGGATCCTGGTAGGGACACATTTGCAGATTTTTCAATAACAAGGACTGATTAAAACTGGAAGTAGGATTTCTAGGCTACATTATTAGAAAATACAGTCATTGCCCAGGGTCCTTAAAGACACCACAACACAGAAGCAACAACAAACAAATGAAAAGAGACAAAGAAGTTTAGTGTCTCACATCTCTCTGAGTGCACTGAAGGAGGGTACTGTCGTTCCTGCACAGTGGATCTGATCGTCTTCAGTTTGTCCCCTGAGCTCCAACACTGCAGGTCCCAGGTCAAAGAGAGGAAGCTGCAGCTGCATGCACAGGAAAAGCTAGAAAATCTGGGATTGTTTGTAAGCAACACTACACAAACATGACTGGACAGATTACCACAGGTCCGGGAAGAACCCATTCAGTTTTCGAAATAGGGGACAGACAACCCAAAATGGCATTTTCTACATTTTCCTTGATTTCACAGAGAATGATTCATGGACCGTGATGTTAAAACCCTGATATCAATGAATGTGTGCAATTTGGTGCAGATGCAAATAAAAACCTGGATTTAGTCAAAGTAAATATGGATTTAACAAGACTACTGGTGGATGTATGAGCAATACTGAGAGCCATTGGCGTTTTTCTTATGTTAGTTCAGGAGACTGGTGTTTGCATTAATTTGAACTAGAGGGTTATTATTATTATTATTATTATTAGTAGTAGTAGTATCATTATTATTATCCACGTTATTACTTCTTAGGGTGTGATATTCCCTCCACACCAGCTGGTGGCGGTACTGCACACTTCATTGTTTGGTAGTTACATGAGGAAGAAGACTTGTGGACGTTTCTATGAAGGGGACAGCGCGAGGGTTTTATAATTACTGCTGCACGCGCTGCTGTCAGGACCGGAAGAAAGTGATGGGATCCGTCTGACGTCACATGTTAAAGGTCAGAGCTGTCTGTGTCTCTGTCTATCTGTCTGTCTATGTGTCTCTGTGTGTGTGTCTATCTATCTGTCGGCGTGTGTGTGAGACAGCTGTTCTTAGTGTCTCTGTGTGTGTGTGTGTGTGTGTGTCTGTCTGTCTGTCTGTCTGTGTCTCAGTGTCTCTCTGTGTCTATGTGTCTCTCAGTGTCTGTGTGTGTGTGTGTCTTTGTGTCTCTCAGTGTCTCTCTGTGTGTGTCTGTGTGTCTCTCAGTGTCTCTCTGTGTGTCTCTGTGTGTCTCTGTGTGTGTCTGTGTGTCTCTCA